TTTGTCGAAACGCTAAGGAAAATGATATCATTTCTTCCAGTGGAATTCCACCTCACGTGGGTTTAATGGTGGAGCTAGCACATTACAAATCCGAGATGGTTAAAATGCGCGAGGAGCTTTCTCATGCGTTTGAAGCAGCTCTCAAGCGTCATATTAATGGCTCTGTAATGACCATGAAAGCGTTGGAAGCAGCATTTTCATCTGTGTTAGCTCGATCCAATTTGGTACAGCACAATTTGCATTTAGTGCGGTCGGCACTGGATAATACCAACGCTACATGCATTGACCAAGTTTTATACTGGGAATACCTCAGAATGAGTAATGGACAGCCCAAACAGGATTAATTGCGTGAGCGTAACGTAAATGGGTCAACGTTCGGACAACATCCAAAATATCGTATTTAGTATGTGATTAAAAGTTCTAAGAACATGTATTCCCAGTGTAAGTCGCAGACGATCTAGTATACTTAGTATACCGTAAAGTATTACAATTCCCTACGAATAGAAAGACCCTATTAATACCTTAGGGTACTTAGGGTATTCTACACAAATGGAGTGCCACAAAATAGAGGTGAGCTGAAATAGAGTACTGTTTGTAGCTGTTGAATAAAGCGTCTTGTGTTATGAACGGCAAGTTGACTACGCTCAGTCGTTCATGACCTCGAGCGAGTTTGCATGTTAGATTGATCGTTGAGCCGACCAGCGCAAAACACTTGAATATAGAAAACAATGATGTCTATTCTGATGTGTATTCGAGCTTCGCTACATGTATTAATTAGTAACTAAGTTTCCGACCCACAGCTCGTTAAACGCATCGCCGACAGGATCGTCTCTGCTGTCGACAACGAAATGAGAGCGAGGACTTAGTTACTATTTGTTAATGTCAAATTTGTTGAAGTATTAATCTATACTAAGTATGATGGAATTCTATTTCTTAACGCAAAATCAAAAACTTGTTTTAAAATACAAGTGCTCGAACACTGATTGCAAATTCGATAAATTGTGAAGTAGTCTACATATTTCGCGTGTTGTCCTGCGTACCGTTGCTCTACCGGGATTAACGCCGATAAAGGAGTAGAGAATACTACCTAGTCCTTCAGGTATCTCCCAGTCCGTAACTAGGGCACTGCTTGTTGCAAATTGCGGCTTAGCAACAACCAATAAAGCTTTGGTTTGCGGAAAGTTTTTGTAGTTGAACCGGTAGCTACTCAAGGCGTGGTGGTTTCATAGCCGGATCAGCGCTGCGACGACAAGAAGGGTTTACCCGAAATGGCTGACTGGCTGGCTATATCATTTCCCCCAACACAACGATATATTTGACCGCATTTCGCCATTTATTCTCTCAATAGTGATAGTACCGATGTACTACAAACTAGATCTCACCTGGTTCTAGGAAGCATGGAAAGCTGATGGATTGCGAAGATATATAGTGTATAGGTCCCCCGCCTTTTCAGCGCTCTTTACCGAATGCCCTTGACGAATTAACATATCGAATAAATCAATTGCTCCATCGTCCTTCTCATCCAATTTCGCAAACGTCGGAGCTAGTTTCTTGATCGATTCCTTTTGCGCTGCAGTGATGTCGTCAAGCAGAAACAACCCGGCAAGTTTGCCCCTCTCTTCGTTGGCTTCGTTTACACGTTCGCTCGAGCGCAAAAATCTCCCTCCCGTGACATCGGCTTTCCGCGCATCCTGAGATGACTGAACCAGACTTGGTGAGGCATGTGCTATTTTCACGTGTGTTGGTAGTGCGCTTCCAGTGGCAAACAGCAGAGCCGCGAGCAGGATGAAGGCGAGTTTCATGCTCTTTTTTCTTGTACGGTTGGCTCCAGAATCGGTAAATGCGTCCGGCGAGGCGAATTGAGAACTGAATCGTGTCAAAAGCTGGTTTTACCCAGCTAACAATAAGTGCTTAGCACGCGTTTGTATCCAAGCAAAGTAAGAAGGAAAGGTAATCAAGCATACTGTCAAATCTGTGAACACAGATCGTGAAAAAAAATGACTTTAATAGAGGCGGTAGTGGGCGGGTGCGCGGAGCGTAGCCGAAGCAAGCCCGAGCGAGGTGCCCGCGAAGCAGAGCCGCTCGATAATTGTGTAGACGGGCCCAACGACGAGCTCACAACTTGTGAGCTCGTCGTTGGGATTGTGAGTCACAAGCGAACGGACCCGCAACACATGTCTGCGGGGATCTGGGAGTGCAACCCCCAGTGTGCTTTTAAAAGCGACCCTTATCCGGAGGTTTTTGGATTTGCTGGTGTTGTCCGCGCTATTCTATCGCTCTACGAGAGCCACTCTCGCAGAGTAAACAACGGCAGTGCTTGTCCAGAACCTGCGCATGCATGTACTATTTAGTAATTACGAAATAACATATGGCCCCTTTTGTGATGGTGATTCATGAGACATGCGCATGCATGTAATATGTAGAAACTACGAAGTAACATATGGTTGTATTGCGATGGTGAATCACCATTGGTGATTCATGAGACAAAATGGCGAAGCTCCTGATCGATACATCGTTAAAATAGGCGCCGAAATTGTACAGACCGAAGCAAACCCGAGCGGGGTGCCCGCGAAGGCCGCTCGGTATTTGCGTAGGCGGGCCCAGCGACGAACTCACCAGCGAACGGACCCGTAACACTCTCCAGAACATGTGCGGGGGTCTGGGGGTGCAACCCCCAGTATGCTTTTAGTAGTGGCCCTTATCCGGTATACCGATATTTCTGTGGAATTCATCCGTAGATTCTGTGGATTTGCTTATTCTGTCTGTGCTATTCTATCGCACTCGTCATCGCGTTAGGAACCCACAAGTTATTCCTATCTAAGGGTATTCCTATTCACGTATGTACCATAAAAATGGCTCCGAGTACCTTTGGTTTGGAGCAGTGCGGCTGCCAAACTGTACAAGGTGGGGGACTCGGCAGGCAATTTCTTGGAGTATTACTTGCTGGAACGCTATGCCACCGTCCAACTTCGCTAGGTGCTGGAAGCACACCCGGCTTTTAGACTACTACAACTGCGTCTACGAAGAACCAGATGAAGATGATGCAATGTTCGCCGAGCTTGCGACGATGTTATCTCGTCTGCACGTTAAGGACCCAATGTCCGTGGACGAGCTCCTGAACACAGCTGCAGAAAATCCCACAGATGAAACTTCTGTGGAGTTGGTGACCAAGAATTGGCTGTAGATGGCTCTGAGAACGGCTCAGAAAACATGGACGAGGCCGAAATGGAGCGTAGTACGTGGATGCAATTAAAGAGCATCTCATGTGGATCGCTAAGCTTCTCGTTCGTGCAGGGGCGACTGGAGTATCGGTGAGCAGATTGCGATAATTGCAGCGCACGCTCCGTGAAGAACTTGGAAGAAATCAAGTATACCCAGCCCAACACCGCAGTAACTCCAGCACCGGCGACCAAGAGACCAACAACTCCAGCTTCAACGCCGTGTTCAATGGTGACGACGAGTAGGACTGCCACTGAGCACTACTATGACGAGGAACTTGGCTGTTGGCCCATTATCGTCGAGCACGACGCCACGTACTGCATCGACGTTCCCATCTGCAGCGACTCAGTCCAAAACATGATGGGAGCCCGTCTATTGACTTTTCAAAAGCGTGTGGTTATTCCTATGGCTCTACGTCAAGAATTGGTGGAGTGGTACCACACCCAATTGGTACATCCGGGACCAAAACGACAATTTAACACGATGAAATCATTTTTCTACTGGTCCGGAATGACGAGAAGCATTGTGGAGTTCACTAAGAACGGGTCATTGTGACGCAGCCATCGCTGACTGCCTCACGTACTCGGCCAGCTATGGTGAAGGTGGCAAGTGCGTCCTCCCCATATATGCGCCGTACCGGTCATTCATACCGGAGCCTATGGCTGCATCATCCCTTGCAGCAATATAACACCCCAGCTTAACTCCAACCCCGACCAAGTATGACAATGGACGCAATGGAGCCCATGATGATATTGGCGGCGACAACGCGGTGGCAGTGGATCGTAGATCCTGGTATACTGCAGCGGACAGTAATACGGTTTCGTCGTCGGTACAAGGCACGGAGCCAGTGGCGCTCCGGCGGGTGTCATTGCTGCGGTTGTTGCAGCTGTGACGGTGATCGCTGGTGTAGCCATCTACCCCCACACATCAAGGTGCACCAGGAAGTGGAAACGACGACTATTATGGACTTCATTACACCCTAAGGCTACAGCAACGAGGTGAACAGGTTTACTTGTCGGCTTGAGTTCTCTTTTGCAATGGAGTTTTTTTTTTCATTTTGGGCTGCATCCTTTTTAGGTAAAAATGCAATGGAAGATCGCGACGCAAACAGCATTTTGGTCCATCAGAACTTGGTACGTATTGCTGTGTTAGCGATTAAGCTCTCGAGTCTTGGAGAAGTGAGCGGCGAGCGGCTCGCTGGTCGCGACGTCTCCTATCACCAGTAATTCTGTCAGCATATCTCATGAACTGAATTGGAATTCTTGATTGCTTCCATTTTGCCCGAGCAGTAAGATGACCACGCCGACTGTATCTCAGTTGATCCAGCTTGCAGTAATACTCACCGTCTGATAATTCAGCTACTTGTAGGTCAGATTCTCCGCCATCATCGCTATCGTCGCTGGGCTGTTTGGATCACTAGGTGGACCACTATCGGGATCACTGCCTGCTTCACAGCTATTGTCGGGATCTCTTCTCAAATACAAGTCGGCATAGCTAGAATTTTCTTCTTCACTATGGACATTTTGCCTTGAATCACCGTCACCGTCTTGGGCAGTCGTTACTTCCGCTCATAGTGCAGTATTGAAAGTCGCTGTGTGTGGTATCATATTTCTTCCGAGTAGTAAAATCCTACCACGGACCCGTGCTCGCTGTGGACTCTGCGCGCGCCTTCTATGATGTCTTGAGTAGACATTCGCCCCATTGTGACCGTCAATTTCGTGTTGCACGCCACGACCATGTAGCATGTAGTACTGCAGCACACGCTCCGGCGAAATGTTACCCCGTAGGTAGATTATCTACTGGTCGTATACGGGTCTGCTCGGTTTACGGGTCGTGCATTGTAACGGGTCGTCATTTTAAAAGATCGTAATTGCTATGAAAAAAAGAGTACCGTGCGGTATCGTATCTTTTGGGTAGATTATCATCGCTTTTATATTTCTTATTATCACTTTTGGATGTGTTATCATCGTATTTGGATACATTATCATCATTCCTAGGTACTTTATCATCGATTTTGTACTGAATATCGACTTCGGATGGATTATCATCCTTTTTAGATTGCCTATCGACTTCAAGTGCAAGGCATAAGGCATACGCAAACCACGTGTTAAACTTAGCTACCACCCATTATAAGTATCGATATTGCCATCGAATCTGGCCACGCCACAGCCACCTGTTATCTGCAGTTTCACTGCTTATACCACGGTAGCTTATCTGCTGAAGCTAGCTCGCCGCGTAGGAAGACCCGCCTTCACTATTCATCTTGCATCCTTTCGCTGCGGAGCCACCATGACAAGACATAGTGAAGAAGGTACAGACTCCCGAAGTCTCCAAAGGCCAACGAAGAAGTCGTCTAAGAAGAGAGATCCGAAAACCAAGATTATTCACATGGGATTCGAGTACACGAGGGCGTGGAGTTCGCACCTTAAGATTGTATTTCGGTGCAGTGTATATCGTAGCACCGGGTGCAAAGCTCGACTGACAATTCGACCAGTGGATACGAGTTGGTGAACATGCACACCTGCGTGCAGCCTACCTCCGGAACAGGCGCAGATATCGTCGACTGTACGACTGCTATGAAGCTTCGCGTTGATAGTCTATCTGTTCTGGATTTGACGAAACCAGTGCACGAGATGTGGTAGGAAGTGAGCGCCGAATTTTGCTTGAATGACGACATGATTAGGAGGAAGTGCAAGTCAAAAGTCGAGTCTACCGTGTCCGGCAAAAGCACTATGGGCCTTATTTACTTGGACGCATCGAAGTACTTCCACTATCGATGCTAGAGGGAAAGACGCTGACCTTTTTCCAGTTCCACCTGTCAAGACCGAAGGCGGACCCCACCACCAAGCCAGATCGGGTCATTGGCTGGGCTCACCCAGAACTTCGACAGTTACTGATGTACAACGGTGTTTCGCTCTTCTTTTATGATACATTCCGATGTGTACCCACTGGGATTCAAACAGTGGATGATTATGATGGTGTACGACCAAGCCAGCGAGTTATTTGTCCCTGTGTACTTCGTTCTTTGCAGCTCCAAGGCTAAAGACATGTACTTCGACATTCTCGAGCTGATTTATAGGGACACCTCAGAGAAGCTCGAGCCATGTGACGTCGTCTGCGACTTCGAGATGCCAATGATACAGGCCATCGAGAAGCAGTTCCTGAACGCTGAAGTGATCGGCTGCCTGTTTTACTTTAAACAGGCAGTGCGACGGCAAATGAAAACAACGTACAGTATTCCTGATGCGGAGGTTCGCATTGCAATGGAAAAAGGCGTGCTTGACGTGCTCAAAATGATTGATCCGAATTTGATTCCTCGACATGGCATACGGTGTTTTAAACGTACTATTCGAGCCATGTGTGTTGCAGCCGGGATCGCTTACACCCGTATTAAGTGGAAGCAGTTCTGGGGATACTTTCGTGCTACTTGGCTGGAGCGGTACAACATTGAATCGTGAAGTGTTCATGGTTTCGACAACGGTCTCGTCGCTAGAACAAACAATCCTATCGAACGATTAAATAGGGAGCTAAATAGATCGTTCCCGACACCTCATCCCAATATTGCCACATTTGTCAACGTGATCTGGACAATATTTCAAGATTACGTTACCATGTTGACCAACGTGGCGCAAGGGCGACGAAGCAGAGGCAACAAGATCAATGCAAGCAAAAAGAGAGGGCGACGACGAGCCAACACAAGCAGTGCCGACGGGGCAAGCGTCGAGACGATTGATCTTCCCAATCCAGTGGTTTTTACGGACGAAGACTTAGCCTCTGATTCTGATAGTGAAGACGAGATGCAAGGCAGCGATGTTGATTCTGTGGTAGAGCGTGAGGTCGCCGACGTAGCTGACAGTGACGAAGATGCGCTTCCGGATTTTTCTCGTTTGAGCCCAGTGAGTATTGTGATGACGATGAGTCGACTACCAACGGAGATGACCAGAGTGTGCAAGCAGCTATTGTTTAGAGGCCTTTAGTGCACGTGCGGACGGATAACCAGAAGTTGTTTTCTCACCAATAACAACTTTGTGGTAGGGGCTAGATGTAGTGAGCGTTTTGGACGCTACGAACTAGGGACTCCCCCATGCTTAAATATATGTACCCTTTTTATACTACATATCTGTATCCAAATTCGGTGATATTCAGTATAACATCAATGATAATCTATCTAAAACCGATGATAAACGACTCAAACATGATGATAAAACATCCAAAGTGATAATAACACATTCAAAAGTAGTAACAAGTCCACCTTAAAGTTTAGATTGAAGGACACTTTGCGATCAACCTACTGCTGATCGGGTCTGATGTTTGGGTCGTCAAAAGGACGCGACCAAACTCACGAACAGATTTGTATACGACCAAGGAAATAGTCTATCACTCCGTACGCTCGAGAAAAACTGCTTGATGTGATCTTCTACACTTGACAGAGGTAGATTTAGCAGATGAATACACTTTCGAAGCTGAAGTTTGGTACGCCCACTCATCATGGTGACTGACGGCAGCAAGCCTCGACATAATGAAAAAAAAAACTTTGTTCAACTTAAAGGAGACATCGCTACTTCAAAAATCAAAACGATGTGGCCTACCGAGCCACAGATTGAAAATTGATATAAACTAACTTGATGCCAGCAGATTTACAGCAAAACATTTCGACGAATATTGCTGGTCATTCATAAAGTATAGAAGCAAACCGACCTAAGAAAGTACGAAGCATTTATATTTACTGCGGAGAGGACGAAAGCCGATATAGTATAATGACCCAATATTCTACAGCTAGACACCACCAACCTTCGATACACTATGTCCGCTCCTGCATCTGCTTCCTCGACTGAGATTGAATTATCGCCGGGTGAGGTGAACGGACAACAACAGTATCATCTCCCCGCGCCACCCGAACTGGAGTACGAGTCTGAAGAAGCTGCTGAAGCCGCGATTCATGCTTGGACCAAAGCAAATCCATATAATGTGTCAAGGAAAAATGGCTCTAGATGGTAAGCCGAAAAATAAAAGAAAACTTAAGGATTCAGACCGCCAGCGCCCAATGGTAGCGTCAAAGCGCGGTGGTTGTAAAATGCGCCTAAGTATTGTGGCGGCCGATACATCGGCTCCAACTGGACCGTGGCATTACGATGCCTAGGATAATTGTTACAGATAGAGGCTTGGTATGTACAAATACTACGGAGAAAGTCTATCCGTCCTCGAAGAAGTTGCTGTGTCGGTGGCACATCCGCCGAAATGTTCTGGCTCAAGCTCATCGGAAAATTGTCGTAGCACAAGTACCTGAAGCCTCCTCGCTGGTGATGAAAAACATGAAGGAATTGGAAGTTGACACGTTCATGGCTAAATATGATGAAACAATTAACGCTGCTACAGCGAGTGAGTACAATGAGGGGTGTTTGGCATTAAAAGACCTTAACAGCAACATGGACGCCTATTTAACCCGACATTGGTGGCCGTACAAGACCAAATTTGTTCGCTGTTGGATAGATTCATTTTGTCATTTCGGGAGTGTGGATACTTCTACTGTGGAAGGTACTCATGCCAAGATGAAGTCCTTTCTAGATAACGCACGGGGTGATTTAGTGACCGTCTTTCAGCAATGGTGGTCTAGAGCGGTCACAAATAACAGTGTGCAAGCTGCAAAAGAGGTGTCCACAATCCCACAATTATTTCGCGACGATTTATATTCTGCCGTCGCGGAAAAAAAATATTTCCGTGCACGCTCTGAAGGAAACTCACAAGTTGTGGAAAATGCCACGTAAATTGGTAGTGCAAGGTACTAGACCAAACGACTTTACTGGTACAGAGCGCCGTACTAAAGGTTGATCGTGCCTTCACGATATGGTGGAAATTATTGAATCTAGAGGCGTATTAAAATTCTTACCAGAGCAGTTCGGCAGACGCTGGCACCTGTGGGTGGTTACCGACCGAGTGGTTGAGCCTGTTCCAAGGACTAAACGGCAACGAACATGCGAACAGCCACGGCCTCACCAAGCTGGATATGGCGTTCGTGGTACACGACGCGGTCCATCAGGGTTTAAATTGTCAGGACAAACTGAATTGACGACTGACGCAAACGCTAGATCATTAACATTTCAAGAGCTTCTCGAACAAAACGCTGAAGACTTCCAAAATGCATTTTTACCACCTCGAGCATGGGGGTACGCTAGGCAGCGGGATCTGGATGACTAGTTTTCTAATGTGGTGGTAAAATATTTTATATCGCATCTTACATGATCTAATGTTTATGAGAAGAAAGGATACTTCTATTAGATCTTCAACTTACTAACGCCATGTCCTTACACTTTTTCTGCTCGGGTGCTCCGATCAGGGCGCTCCCTAACCTTTCCCATATCTAATTTATCACCGATGAATAATTTTGACGCCGCATATTCTCCGTTATAAAAACAAGGTCGCGCACTAAGTCGGGTGTCAATGAAGCTCTCTTGACAGTAACAAAGTTACCACTTGTTGAAAATGCTCGTTCGGGGAAAACACTTGTTGCTACTTTCCCTAACCATTTTCGAGCCAACATTGCCAGATTATTATGCTTCGTGCGATTCATCTTCCACCACGTCAAAGGATTTGTGTCGGGATCCACAAACTCGGACGAGGTATCGTCGGCAACTTTAAGGGCAACTAGGTAGCGGTCGTACTCTGTCTCACAAGTTTTTTCAGAGAGATTTGGCGCTGATTGCGTGAGTTGGGGCCGAACATGTGATGTTTTATCTGAACATCGTTTGGTGCCTTTGAAGCGGAAGGTGGCGAAAACATACTACCACGTTGATCGTCAGGAATCGGTGGGGTTCAGCACGTACTTCATCTGTCCGGGAATAATCGCAGGTTTGTAAAACGTTGGCCATAACTTTCTCAATGTCTGCTCAATTGCCGTGCTGGTTGGCTTAAAATGATCCTTGGCACTTTGCTTATTGGACAATACTCGATTTGGCACGATCCAAGCCGTAGTTCAGAAGTAATGGCTCTGAGAAGCTGGCGTTTCCAGCCATTCATTTTGGGGGCACCCGCCACGGTCACAGGAATCTCATTTAGTCCGCGATCTCTCTATCATGCCAAACCTTACTGATCACGAGCGCCGTGTAATAATCGACGAGCTTCTGACGCGCGTTAGAGAGGGGGGGGGGAAATTAAAGCACGGAGCAAAGGCAGAAGTTGCGAGGAAATTTGGCTGTGATGCGACTGCTGTTGGGCGCCTGTGGACCCAGTAAACCCGTACGTCTATGCATGTCATCAGCGGGGGTGACTGGCGAAGCAGTATCAAGAGCAAGTCAGGAAGGATGCCAATAAGTACTATGTCAACAAGAGCGCCAATGAGTTTCAGCCAGGCTAGCTTCTTCTTCTCTTTATCTGGCAAGTATCCCATCCATTTTGCTATTCGAGGGTCTAGAGGGACCCAAAGGAGCTCTGTTTGCTCCAACCTCTCGAAACGCGCATCAAATAAGCGCACAACCACATCGCGGCACTCTTTGACCGTAACCATTGTGTCATCAACGTTTATCTTTCATCCGACAAGATTTCCGAGCTCTGCAAAAAGCAATTCTGTAAGAAGGCTTTTTCAGAGACCACTAAGCGCCGGTGGAACTCAAAGGAGCGTAGGGTAGGTCCAGCATCGTGGACACCGAAGAAAATGGAGCAAGAATTTCCACGAGGTATTTTATAGCCAACCAGTCTGCTGCTTTTGGTTTTGTCAATTTATTTTGCATATCAGCAAATTCGATTTGGTGTTGGTAGATACACAAAAAAAATCTCCAATAGGTTTCTCAAGACTGATGAAGCGACAAAGCATATTGTAACAGCTATTCCACCGTGTTGGGCAATCCACAACAGGATTTACAACATCCTTTTTAGGAATCCTTAGCTTGTCGGTCTGCAGCAAGGCTAATCTGTTCCAAGCCTTCGGTGACTTCCGGAAAACTGCCCAGATTTGAAACTTCTGCACGATGACACGCATTTCAGCCAGCTGATCTTTTTCGACATCCTCCACGGCAGTGTTAACAAAAGTATCCATCTCCTCCAATATGTCATCTCGCAGAGTCTGCATCTGTTCTCTGTCTGCTTCCGACAGTTCGTCGTCTCCTTCGTATTCAGTACATTCTGCATCTGGTTCAGCTTCCACGGCAATTTTCCAAGATTCTCGGCCCTGTTCAGGAGGCCTCTTCTTCTTCTTAAGTACAGTCGACAAAATGAGGTGAATTTGGTGAGCAATACATGCTGCGTGGTCTAGTTGCATGATGTCACCGGATGCAACCATGTTGGAACAAGAATCCCTTACGAATCGACTGCAACGCTCCTTCCGTAAATCTCAATCCTCCATAATCTCTTCCAGCGCAGTTGCGATAGTGCGGCCATCATGTTTTCCATGAATCTCCTTGACTTCGAGCGTCCAATTTACTGAGTCAAAATTCTCAGTGACGTAGTGGTTTGTGAACGCGATGTAGGAACGTGCGTTTCGCGAAGACCAGATGTCACTCGTTATCGAGAAGAACAAACACGAGCGGATGATTGACTATCTTACCTGACGTCTTAGATCCTCTGCGAGCTGGACGATCTTACCACGTAGCTGAGCTCGTTTTGGAACGCGTACCTTGACGCCACCAAGTTCTTCAGTAATATACCGGACAAAGTTTGTAAACCCGACATCCTCAATCATAAGTAATGGTCGATAATGACCTCCGATCTACCTCGCACGTAGCGCGTTAATATGGTTTTGTTGCTCAGCTGTTATGACACGGGGTTCATGGGAGTGGGTAGAAATGCTACCAGCAGCGTCGTCAAACGCTAACACGAGGTCTCGATTGGTACCATCTCTTACCTCGCCAGAACTTGCGAGTACATCGCCATGACACTTCGTCATGTGCCTCGTTACACCACTGTCACCATTGATAAACCCAATCGCCCATTCATATCTCTCCCAATATGAGAAAGCTGCGTGCTTGTTTTCCAAACGTGATTCTGCCCAATGGTCTGGGTAAGCTGCTAGCTTAATAAATTGCCAAAGATATGGCTTCCGTGCATTTGACATCGTAAACAGTTTCAGTGGTGTTCTGGGTAGAGTGCATCTAAGTGGCGGTTTGGTCCAATATTCAATTTCCTCCGCCGTGTACTCGTCGTTGGCACGCTCGAAACCTGGTCAGATATTTCTTGCTACCTCAGTGGGCACGGAGGCAATATCAGCACCACACCGCACTCTATCACTTTGGATCTATTGATGAGTAGTAGCGATCTGGGAGTTCGCTTCAGCACTCCATGACTGGTGTTGGCCATCTTGACTAGGTATCAGTGAGCTCTGGATGCCTGTGTGGTCATGCTGATGCCCCTTCCCACCTCTGTGGTCATAGACGTGAAATCCTCGTGAGGTTTGTCTCGGGTGGCCAACCGTGTACGCTCGTCGGTCGGAGCTGCTGGTAGCATGCTGAGGTGTCGATATCACCCAACGGGTAGAATCGCCAAACTCTTCCATCCTCACACTGCGTCAATTTGGCTAACTACCTTCACGACTTAACCTTTTTACACCGGCTAATGTTCCGGATTTTCCGGAACATTTATTATATGAATTAACATATACCGAAATAACAGTACTATATATCATGCTTCAAGCCCTTTCGCGTGCCATGTAACGCCATCAAGGAATTTCATTGGCTTTCATGGAGGGATGCTCTGTGCAAAAGCGGTTCAAGAAACTGTTCATTGAGATCTCCTGGCAAAACCGTTACGATGTGCAGCTGCTAGAGGTGTGTGTTCGCGGCAAAAACGACTATCATTCTTTCATTTACCAAAATCCTTCTTCGCTATCAACGTCGTCTACTCGGCGCTTGTTGATAAAGCGAATCTTGTCTTGATACTCCGGCGGGATGGCAGTCCCGTTCTTCCAGGTCTGGTGCGAGACTTGCGAGCACGTCAGGTCGCTGCCCAGCTCGAGGCGACGGGCCTTGTTGCAGAGAGCTACGCTGCCTTTTTTGGCGATAGAGCACGCCTTGCAGAAGTAGCTGCTCTCAAAGCTTCGGGTTCCAGGCCCCGCGAGCGCCGAACATACTTTACACAGCCACTGCCGTGTCTTGCCGCCGTTCTTCTCCCTAGTCTTCTGCAGAATGTGTGGAAGCTGGGATGCTGGTGCGGTCATGAGTTCTTGTCCGTCTTGACCTGCAGCGAAGTCGGCTTTGGTTTGGGACAGCAGCTCTACGTGCAGGCGTCGCATGAAATCTGCGTGTGTTGGGACGCGTTTGTCACCCCTCTTCATCGCAATCTTGTGCACAATGAACGCGTTGACTAACGCGATGTCAACGAGCCCCAAGAAAATAGTTTCGTAGTATTTCTTCATCCGCAGAGACCGTTGAATGGAGTAACGTTGCAAGCGCAGCTGGTCGTGGACGTCCACACACCCCATGGCTTCGTGGTAGTCCACGACCAAGCGCGGACACGGTGTCATCGTGACTGAGCCATCAGGTTCACGACGAGGGACTTGGGCTGGCTGCGTGGAGCATCCAGTAGCCAGGAAGCGTACGGGTTTCGAATCCATCCACGCCAGCGCCACAAACTCGGGTCGGTTGCGCCACTGCGCAATGCGAAACGTGCCACGCGGCATTCGTTTTGGCCGCGACTTCTGCGTGAAATCAATCTCTTTGCGCCATCCCAGGCGGTCTTGACGCATGGTGCCTACGTGGTAATGGCCCATGGAAAGCAGCTTGTCTGACAACGGGATTGACGTGTAGTAATTATCCGTGCACACTAAGCGCTGTGCAGGTTGATCTCGCAATACTTTCACCAGGTTCTTCACAACGGCTCTCTGCGCAACATCCTTTTCGTCCTTGTTTGCCTTCCCACAGTAAATATCTAGCCTACAGCACAATATCCGTAACAATGTCGGTTCTTGTCGGGGTACAATCGGTCACATCCAGAACATATTACGGAGAAGAAGTTACAAGCAATTACCTTGAACAGTACGCTGTTTCAGCGCAGCAAGTCATGTAGAATTTGGTGCCGCACTTGTTGGGCTTTGCCGACATATACTGCCGCATGGGGTTTC